GTGTGCATGTGTGCCCAAGATCCCAAGAGGAGGATGGAGGAGAAGAGATTGCAGTGTGGCCATCCCCCCTGGGGGGTGATTTCTCTCTTTCTGTCTCTCTGTCTCTCTCTCTGTCTGTCTGGCGAGCGCACGCGCCCTATAGCAAAAACCTCTCCAAAAAAGGGAAAAAAGAGAAGGAAGAGGAAGGTCTGGCCCCTGGCCTGATGACCAGGTTAGGACTATACCTTTAACCTGCCCTGTGCCCTCACAGTTGCCCTAGCTGGGTACTAAAAGTGGATGAAATAACTGAGTGTGACTGTCAAACACCTCTGTGGTAAGGACACAGGACTCCAGTAGTAGACTCTCCTGCAGAGTCCAGAGATAAAATGACCTCCTAGTAGTCAAGGAATTAATTTGCAGGGGCAAAAGGAAGGTTTGAGCTGCCTGTGGTTCACCGCCTGGCGAATGCCCCAGAATAACTAGAGTGAGCAGATGTATCCACAGGAGAGGCCCAGGCCATAGCATGCTAGCGCCTCAGCTCTCCATTTTAGCACCTTAACTGGAAGAAGACTGGGTACTTGTACAGAGCCTAGAGAAGGCAACTTGAGATAAAAGGGTATTAGCGAGTGCTATTTAGGAAAAGATGCATTAAGTGATGCCCTGGTAACCAGAAAGGGGGCCTCTACCAAGGGGCAGAGAAAATCTATTAGGCTTGTCTAGAAGTTGGACAAGAGAATCTTTAACAGCACTATTAACAATCTTGTTACTCACCCCCAACCAAATTCTACACTCAGAAAGCAATGCAGTGTCTTTGAGAAGAGACTCTCGATAACAACAACAAAAAAGCTCCCCACCCTACTACAAAATGAATTAACTCCTATTGAGTTGCTGAAAAAGTCATGTATATGTTTTCTGTGCAAAAATATGTCATGATTTTTCTGACAACCCAGTAGTGTACACATCAGTCTGTGAGTTTAGATAACATGACTGGGTTCTCAAGACAAATTTATCTCTCAGGGCATGGATGGACAGTTTTGAGACCCATGACGCTGAATACCAAACCCAAGACTATGCATGACATCTGCCAGGAGCTCTACCTGGACCGCCAGCCAGCCTTTTCACTGGTCACCTATGTGCTATCCTGACCCAAGAAAAGCTGCCCCTTGCACCTGCTGCCTTCTGAAGACTGGAGAAGAAACAGAGACATGGGAAACGGGGCAGCTAATCCTTCTGCTACTCTTCCATTCCCCAAGATGAGAATCACAAGGGGAGACAAGAGTGCCTCTGACCCAGTGGAGGTTTGACATGCTCTATGGCTTAACTCCAATGCAAGAATGTCGTGTGAGACTTTTTTCTTAAAAATATATTTGGGATTTTATATGGAAATAAAGAAGAGGTAATGGAAGAGGTAGACATGATGCTTTAATACTTACTTAATGGCACAGTCATTTTATCCCCTCGCAAGTCAGTGAGGGAACGGTATCTGAGATGTGATAAGGTTCTACAAATCTTTACAGAGGGAATGAATGCCTGGATCAGTCCTCTCTTTTAGTGTTATCACAAAAACTTTTCCTTTCCTGATAATTATATACATTTCTAAATTTAAATCCTGGAATTAAATTTCCAGATGTAAATCCTTTTGGGAGTAAGGCAGGGCACAAATAAATGTGTAAGTAAGTAATAACAATCATAATGCTTCTACTTTGTTGGCCCCAAATTAAAATTGTTCTTGTTCATTTATTAATTAGCTGTGTCATTTTACACAAGTAATTAACCTGTGCTCTTCCATTTCCTCATGTGTAAACTGGGGAAATATCCTGCCCTATCTTCTTCATTGGGTTCAGAGAATTAAAAGTGTAAGTAAATCTAAAGGACTTGGAAAATGGGAAAAAAAGCCAACAACATTCCACATACATAAGTGCACACTGGGTCAATAAGCTGGTGGTGACCACACTGTCTTTTCTCTATATATAACACCACTTCTGATACAAATGGGTATTTAAATCACAAAGAAAACCATGAACTTGGGAGTATCTGTTATTCCCACAAACCTAAACATCATCATGACCAGCAACTTCTCACTAACCAATAAAGGCTCACTTACTCTGGTGCTGGCTTTACACATGTTAACTCCCCTGTCCTCACAACCTTAAGATGGGAACTGTCTCACAGAGGAGGAAACCGAGGCTTGGAACATGCTCACAGCCATACAACTGACAGGCAGGAGAGCCAGTGACTGAACTGAGCACAGGCAGCCTGTCTCCAAATTGCCTTCAACTCATGGCCATGGGATGGTTCAGAGCCACATTAGAGTGATGAGAAAGGGTCCTTAGTGGTCACCTGCCCACCCTCTGGTTCTTTAACCAGGTCAGCCCCTTCTACTCCATTGAACAGAGCCAGAGCAGAGCTTTTGGGGAGGTAAGTCTCTCCACAAAGTCACCCATAGCCAAGTAGCAGAGGTAGGCCTCCTGACCCCACGTGAGGACTGTACCTTTAACCTGTACTGTGTCTTCATAGTTTCCCTGGACGGTGGCATCTGTGCTGGGGGTTGAACATTTGTAGTGGCCTTGGTCTGCGGGCTGGACATTCTTTATGTGAAGCTCCACGGCGTCATTGGCAGTTCGTCGGAGAAGGATCTCACCCCTCTGCAGCCGCTCACGGTATAGCTGGGCTGGGAAGCCCACCTCCCAGGTGCTTGCAAGCTCCACGAAGTGGCTCCCTGAAGCTGAGAAGCTCCAGTCAAAGTTTTGCTCACTGGGGCCATCATAGTCACTGACGTTGCAGGGGATGACCAGCTCGGTGCCCACCACACGAACTAGGGTCCCCGTAGGGACTCTCACCACACGCCCTTGACAAAGAGCTGTAATGACAAGACATGAAAGGCAGGTCTTTAATCACAGGTGGTTTTTGTCAACGTAAATGTGGCAAATCCAAGGATGTTCCTGTTCACAGCTACCTGACAGAAATATGTCATCTAAACCAGTGGGGAAAATGTGTCTCCACAGAAGGCGGGTAAGTCCATCCCTGCACTTATGAGACTGGACATGAGTACTCTCCCACAGCCAACTTCTCAGGACTGACAGGGAGGAAGAGAAGTAGGAGAAGCAGGCTAACCATAGACCTGGACAGCCTCTTCCCGCCCGTTACTTACCATTTACCATTCCATTATCACTCAACGTGATGTAGAAATATTTGGGGTTGTGTGTGAAAGGAAAGGCCACAGCTAATCAAGTATTTACCTTTCTGTCCATCCTATATCAACCTTCATCCATAGAGACCATTCCCTGGGGCTCTTGAGGCCTGATTTACAATGACGGATGCCAATTTTTAAATCCTAGAGCAGCCTGCTGATAAAATGATTTAACTCCTGTTATCTGACATTGCCTGTAAATTAATTTTAAAATATGACGATTCTACCAAGTATTAATTTTCTATTTTCTGGCTCATTTCTTTCTCTCTACTCTCCACCCTGATCTAAATTCAGAATGAGAATGGGGAAGCACAAGGGAGAGCGTCTGGATGGTTGCTGGGCATTGTCAGGAATGCAGCGGTCTGCCCAGTGGACAAAGCCAAGAGTTCATGGGCATTCCCTTCCCTGAGAGCTCGTAATTCACCGGTCTCTCTGTCAGGGCCCTTAAAGACTGGCACCTCTGAGTCCTTTGCGAGGTCCTCATTGCAAGGAACTCACAATTCTGCAGTGTGCTTACTATCTGCAGCAAGCACTTTGATTCAGACCAAATGATTATGCAGGGCACCTCCTTAGTGTTCTGTGGCCAGGTATAGCCACACGCAAGAAGCAAGCCTGGGCTCTAAAATCCAGGAGACTTACGTCTATAACTGACCTCTCTTCACTTCGGCTTCCCCAACTATGCAATGGAGTAAGAAGCCTTCACAGTTAATGAAATAAAACACCTTCCTGAGAGTCTGCCTCTTAATAAGGGCTCAAATGGAACTTTTTTATTAGGTTGCTGTTTTTTGTTTTGTTTTGTTTTGTTTTTACTTTTTTGCGGTACAGTGTGTGCACTCACCAGAGACAGAGACAGTGAGAGGGAAAGTGAGAAATCACTCCCCAGGGAGAACCACATGGCTAACCATGGTTCTAGTCCCAGACCTGCTTGGCTTGCTTTTTCCCTTTCTCTCCCTCCTTCTCTCTCTCTGGTCAAATTAAAATAAATGAATGAATAAATAAAATAAAATAAATAATTATTTTTTAAAAATTACCATTTTTAAAAAAAGATGCTGCATCCTGGACTCAAACCACAGTCAGCCATGTGTGAGTCCAGCATCTTAACCACTAGGCCACCTGTTGGCCCCTAAAACAAAACATTTTACTATATATTTTCATTTTGATGTTTTTATTATTTGTATAGGACAAACTATATTTCCTATTCAAAATTCATATGATAAAGTTCTAACCCTCAGTACCTCAGAATGTGACTTTATCTGGCAACAGAGTTACTGCAGGTAATCAGTTAAATTGTAATACTTAAGTAGAGTGAATCCCAATCCAATATGACCAATATCCATTAAAAGGGGGTAATCTGGAGCCAACAGGTGGCATGGTGGTTAAGGCGATGGATCTCTCATGGTTTGAGTCCCTGAAATGGCAGCCTGAAAAACAGCGGGCATGTGTGCATGCCCAAAATCTTGAAAGGAGATGGAGAAGGGATTGGAGCATGGCCAATCCCTCTTCAACTTACTATGGGTTTATCAGGGTGTAATCCCATCACAAGTCAAGGAGCATCTGTATCCTAATTTGGGTCAGGGTTAAAAAAATAGTTGAGGAACACTTTTTTCAAGGGTATCTCTTGTTTTCTCCACCCATGATCATTTACTTGAAGGGAAAAAGGATGCCTCCTCATGAGAAGAATAGTACTAGGGGACAGTTGTTTCTGAGCAGGGGGCTGGCTACTTCCCCTCCTAGTGCAGCTGGGGGATGGGTCCAGTCTAAACTCCAGTGCTAAGAAAGCTGCTGAGCCCTAAACACCTCCTTCTTCTCAAAAATACTACTACTGTTGCTGGTCATTCAGAAAAACTAGGGTCACACATGTTCCTGCAGAGAATGGGAGCCCCAACCCCCAGAGCTGCTGAGGAGGAGTACTGGACCACGCTGCTTCTTTCTTTCTAAGGCAACTCAATGCCTGCAGGATGAGATCACGACCCACTCCTACCTCTTCTGCAAACACAGCAGACCCCGGTGGTTGCCCAGATGGGGCAGACCTTGCACCGCTGGTCCCAGGGATAGGCGTCAGGGCTAAAACTAGGTACAGCAGAATTATGACTCTCTCGCGCTGACACACCAAAGAAAGACACTGCTGCTTCCACTGGAATCGAAGTACCATAAAGATGACTGACATGGTACTGAAGCCACACACATGGCAGTTCCCTAGCCCACTGAGGAAGCTACTCACAGAGAAGAGACACAGGCCCACACCTGGACTAGAGGTGGAGCAACCCAGTGATCCGAGAGCAGCCTCTGAGCTCCTGAATCCTGCCACATCTCCTAAACCATTCCCCCACACCCAGACATGCATGCATGTGCTCGCACAGCCCTCTCTCCCTGGATGTTTCAATTTCTCGTAATTTCACTCACCCCCAAGCTAATTTCTGTCACTGGCAACTCAAAGAGCATTGAATTGATATATACAGAAACTAGCCAGCAGTGACCAACTCTCTGAAGCCATCATCATTAGTGTTCACAAAATAGGTGGCCACTGTTTAAGATACAATTTCAGAGGACTAGACAATTCTGAATGTCCCAGTGTAACCTTTCAGAAGGAACACAGCCCAGTGCGGTGCCCGAGTTCCTGCATCTGTGAAGTGGCGAGCACCGTCTCCATGAGGACCGTGTAAGAATCAGATGAGCTCAGGTGTGTGGAAAGGGCTTTGGTCATCTGTTAGGCGGGCTGCCTCTGGAATACATCTCATCATAATCATTCACCTTGCTTCTTTGGCAAGGCTTACAAAGGAATTTCCTTATTAAATAAATCTTTTTGATTCCTAGTCCTTGTCAAGAAGTTGGCCAGGGTTGACAATCTGTACACAAGGCCTTCAGGCATTGAATCTGCGTCCCTTGTTAGGTCACCATATTTATTCTTAGTGATCGGAGCCTTGGATCCTGATCCAGCTCCTTGTCTCAGCTCTCCAATCCTTCTTCCACACGGCTGCCCAGATTACCTTCTAACACCAAGTGCTATGTCAAGTCACTGGTTCGAAGTCTTTAATAGCTCCTTATCACCCAAAGGACAAAATCTGTCCCTAGCCACCCCACGGCGACCACACTGGCCCAGGCCACCCTTGTCTCACCTGCATTATTGCAATGGCCTCTAACTGGTCTTCCTGGCTTCTATTCTCAACATGCCAAAGTGACCTTTTAAAAATGTAAGCTAGATGGGAACCAGCAGTTAGTGTAATGGCTATGTCGCTGGACTCCCACGTAGTCGACCGCGGTTCGTGTCCTGGACCCGGTGGCTTAAAACTCATGCCGGGCGCGTGTGCGTGCGTGCCCAAGATCCCGAGAGAAGAATGGAGGAGAAGGGATTGCGGCGTGACCATCCCCCCTGGGGGGTGATTTCTTGCTTTCTGTCTCTATGTCTGTCTGTCTGGCGAGCGCACGCGCCCTACAGTGAAAATCTCTCCAAAAAAAAAAAAATGTAAGCTATATCTTACATCGTTGGGTTACATCTGAGTCGGCTCAAAACTCTAATAACTCTATCTCATTCAGCTAAAAGCCAAAATCCTTACAGAGGCCATCAAGACGTCACAGAATCTGGCCCTCTTTGTCCTCTTTGTTTCTTAGGCCTCACATCTGCTCCTCTCCCTCCACTACACTCCAGCCATGTTGATTTCTTACGGTTTCCTGGAACAAGCAAGACCCACTCCAACTGCAGGGCCTTTGCATATCTCCTCGGCCCAGACCACTCTCATTCTTCCCACTGGCCCTTCCAGCAGCTGCAGATCTTTATTCCAATGTCACCTTCTCAGTGAGGCCTCTCCTGAATGGAGAGGCCTAAATGGCAAACATTCCCATTCTTCCTCCTACCAAACTTTATCAGTTATGATGAGTATACTCGGCATACTCCTAAACATTTGCTATTATTTAGCTTCTGTCTCTTCCCTTAGAACGTGAGTTAGGAGCAGTGATTTTTCTCTCTTGTTCACTGCTGAATGCCAGTGCCTAGAAACAGGGCATGGTACTACTGAGTCGTTCCATAAATACTTGCTAAATGAAGGAATGAATAAAAGACATGCAATATCATGCATGATCTGGCCATGGCTAGCACTCTAGCTTCATCACCTCCTGTTCTCCCATGCCCCTAATGCTCACACCCCAACAACATGAGTCTTGTCCTCTCAAAGTGCCATCGACTCTTGTGTCCCACTGCTCTGCTTCTGTGCGCCTTCACCTGGAATACCCTCCCAGAAATCTCTTCATCCTCCAGCACCACCTCCTCTGCGAAGCCTTCCCCAAGTCTACTGGGACCACTTAGGTACTCCTTCCTCCATGTTCCAACTCAACCTGCAAAGTACCTTTGACAATGGCGGTGTTATAGTGCCGCTGGGAAAAGTAAAGCAGATATGAACAGATGCTTGAAAGATCAAATTCTAATCTGAAAAGACATAAACCGAGCAGTGTCTTGCATGCCGAACTGGGATGTCCCCTCACCCGTGCAAATTAAGATTCAGAATTTTAGTAACAGAGTTCCAATCTGCCACCAGCAATGTGGTATTTAGCACAGATTTCCTTTCATATTGTTAAATAACAGCTAATGATACTTAAAAATAAACGTAACTTGTAAAAAAATAAACCATATGGCTCTTTTCAAATAAAAAAGATTATCTACATAGCCACAACATTGTCGATTTTTGTCAAAACCTTTTGTAACAGTTGATAACCAACGGAAAAGAGGGAAAGGAAATTATCCTCCGGTTTTCAAACTTCTAACTGCTTCAAACTAGAGAGTCAAACACTTCTGTACCTAAATTATATTAGCTTTACTCCCCATAAAAATGTCTTTACTAAATAACTATGTTAAATCATGGCTGTTTTCAGAGGTCAATATAAGAAACCTTCATATGAACTTTTCTTTGTCAGCCTTAAAAAAAACTACTGAAAACATTTATTGTGTTATACAATGACCCCAAAATTCATATGATAAAGCACTATTAAAATTTAGTACCAGAGGGGCCAGCAGTTAGCTATGTTGGTGGACTCCCACGAAGTTGATTGTGGTTCGAATCTCGGACCCGGTGACTTAAACTCACGCCAGGCACGTGTGCATGCATGCCCAAGATCCCAAGAGCAGAATGGAGGAGAAGGGATTGCGGCGTGGCCATCCCCCCTTGGGGGTGATTTCTCGCTTTCTGTCTCTCTGTCTCTCTCTGTCTGTCTGGCGAGTGCACACGCCCTATAGCAAAAACCTCTCAAAAAAAAAAAAAATTTAGTACCAGAGGGGTCGGCAGGTGGCATGGAGGTTAAGGGCGCTGGACTCCCACATGGCCAACTACGGTTCCAGTCCTGGACCTGGCGGCTTGTTTTCTGACTTTCTTCTTCTCACTCTCTCTGTTCCTTTCTAGTAAAATTAAAACACGTAAATAAATAGTTTTTAAAAATATCAGTACCAGAAAAAAAATACCTGTTGATGAACCATGGTACATTTCTCCCCCCAGAAAACAAGAACTATATACATATCATCATTTATATCTCAAGGTAGTAGTGACCAAACCCCAGAGTACCTCTGATGGCTGTTATGGTTTGAATGTCCCCCCAAAATTCACGTGTTGAGATCATCTGGTTGTGATTGAACTAGAGGGTGAAAATGTAATTCCACTATGGTGTTCAAAAGTGAGACCTTGGGGAAGAGTTTAGCATCAGGTTATTAGCGCAAGCCTCAGTTATTAAGTTTTCAGGTTGGCTCAAGATCTAAACCCATGGTGCCCATGTGGCTTCCAGCACTGTGGTTTAGTACACGACTGCCTACGCCGCTGAGGCTGGGCCATTACTTCTTCTCTTTAAGCCTTAGAAATTAAGGTCAGAAGTTAGTAATTCAGAGTCTCCAGCACCTCAGGGGGCCAAGACAACCAATGAAGTTCAGGGACACTAAGAAAGTCAGAGTTCCCAGGACAAAGAGTAATAGGAGAGAAGGGAGCCTGACACACTACGATGCTTCCCTCAAAAGACTTGACATAATGGACAATGCACTGATGGTAAGGGGGTACGTGGCTGAGAAGCTGAGCAGAAAATAAATACCAAGAGCCTAAGAGTTAAGCAGAGTTTTCAGCTTCTCACAGTGTGGGGAACAAAATTGGAATGCTGAATCCAAAAGGAAGTAAACACCCAGGCTTTCGGTGACAACCCAGGAAGGCCTATGCCCGGGAGTAAGAGCGAGGCTGAAAAAACAACCAGTTCTCATCAAGACCGATACGCAGTCTCAAATCATCTCATGGTAAACCTCTCACTCCACTGGCCTGCCAAGAAAACTATGAATTTTGTTGGGAAGATGGCAATAACATACAGAACCTCTATAATTTTTCAGTTTTCAATCAAAACTTATCAAACACATTTTACTAATAAGAGATCCAAACAAGCGAAAACAAAAAGAAAAAAACACACAATAAGAACAGATCTGCAAGCTTCCAGATATTGGTACTGTTGGATGTCAACTTTTAACTAACCACAATTAATTTACTAAAGAAATAGAAAAAGGATTTCATCCCCAAACTCTAACTTATTAGAGTAATCAAAGTGAAATTCTAGAACTAAATACGCCTGAAATTAAAAGCTCAAGAAACGGGTTTGATAGCAGATTAGATACAGTATGAAAGAAGTCAGTGGGGACCAGCAGACAGCGTAATGTTCACGTTGCTGGACTCCCACAGAGTGGACCACAGTACAAGTCCCATACCCGGCAGCTTAAAACTCACGCCAGGCATATATGTGTGCATGCCCAAAATCCCAAGAGGAGAATGGAGAAGGGATTGCAGCGTGGCTGTGCCCCCTGGGGGGAGGGTGTGATTTCTTGCATTCTCTCTGTCTCTCCAGCAAGCGCACACACCCTATAGCAAACTCTCTCTTAAAAAAAAAAAAAAAAAGTCAGCTTAAGTTATCCAAACTGAAGCCCAGGTTGTGAAAAAAGAATCAAAACAAAACAAAAGAGAGTCCATGAGACACAGTAAAAAGGTTATGGATCAGCTAGGCATGGTGGCTAAGGCAGCTGGATTCCACATGGCCGACTGCATAGTTTGAGTCCCAGACCTGTCAGCTTGAATAACACAGCAGCCATACACAAGTGTTCAAATGCCCATAACACCAAGAGGAGAGTTCGGGACAAGGGACTGCAGTATGGCTACCTCCCCTCCCCCCCTCAGTGAGTGCACGCTTCCTATAGCAAAATTAAAAAAAAAAAAAAAAAAAAAAGAGGTTCAGTTTTACATTTTACAGAAGCCCAAGAGAGAGAGAGAGAGAGAGAGAGAGAGAGAGAGAGAATGAATTAGACAGAAGTAATTTTTTTTCTTTTTTTTGGAGAGGTTTTTGCTATAAGGCGCGTGTGCTCTCCAGACAGACAGAGACAGAGAAACAGAAAGCGAGAAATCACCCCCCAGGGGGGATGGCCATGCCACAATCCCTTCTCCTCCATTCTCCTCTCGGGATCTTGGGCACGCATGCACAGGCGCCCGGCATGAGTTTAAGCCACCAGGTCCGGGACTCAAACCACAGTCGACTACGTGGGAGTCCAGCTACATAGCCATTACGCCAACTGCTGGTCCCAACAGAATTAATTTTTGAAGAAATAAGCACCAAAATTTTTCTTAAACCAATAAAAGTTTTTTATTGGTTTAAGAAAGTCCAGAGATTTGTGATGGACTACGTACCAATAAATACTAAGAATACTAC